GTGTGTGTGTGTGTGTGTGTGTGTATATGTGTGTGTGTGTGGGGGTGTATAATTCGAGCGTAATGTCTTCTGGCCTCATTTGTTGAAGCTTCGTGGAAGCACAACAATGTTTTTGCGTAATAACAAACGTTCGAGAAGCTTAAATCAAATGTCATAACAAAATCGGTACACACCAACAGATTGGTTCAGGCTCTGTTGTCCAGCGGAAAGGGGGCTTCGAAACGACAAGAACCACTGCGTTGACTACCACCAAAGAGGTCAGGTCGCGAGAAGGAATACTTGCGTCGGATTGAGCCGAGCAAAATCGCACAACACGCAACCTTCCTTCTGATCGCCGGCTCAGTCCGCAAAGTCGAGATGCCAATCTAAATGTAGATTCCGCCGGCAGATACTTACCCCAACCCTAGCCCCAGCAGCAAAGTTGGGTATTTGCGAATACTCACCAGAACAGTTGCTGCTGGGGCCGTCTGGTTCGACATTCTGGCACAAGCAAGGCGACCTGAAAGGTCGGAAAAATTACGCTCAAACTGTATGTATATAAAAAAATCAAAGTAGAAGATGTTGCTTTTTTTGTCGGCCATAAAAAGTGCTCTGTTCCAAGATAGTACTGTCTCCACAAGTAGTAGTCATTCATTTGTTAAAGATAGGTCACTTTTGTGGTAGGGGATTGCGTGGTATGGTCCGTTTCGGTGCCGCAGAGTGCGGTGCAATAACGTGGTAGGGTTAGAAACTTTGTGGTTTAGTGAATTATGGATGTTTTGGGTTTGGAATAGTACCATATATTATTAACGTTCGGTGTGGTATGGCGACATGTATTGTAGTCCAGATGCTGCTGGGCAGTATGGAGTGATACAGTTGTGGAGGTGTCGCGCGGTATGCTGTAACGGTACGAGGAAATAGTATGAGATAGTGTGTGATAAGTTGCAGTATGATATGTGAATTTGCGGTATAGTCAAGTATTTTTTCATATATTAATCTATTTACTCGACAGCCAGTCCTTTCATCAGCTTATCCGACAGTAATTTTTATATTCTGGTTTAGTTGTATCTGGACTAGAATGATGTGGTTTGATTTGAGCCTTTTTGGTATTATCTTGGGCCCTTTGACTTCTCGGCAAAAGCTATTCAAGTCGAATGTTATGCCGACCAAGCGAAATGCCACTTGCAGAGCGAACCATAATCGGTTCAGATGAGTCGCTAGACTGAGGCAAAAAGACGAAAGTGAATGCAGCAATCGTTTATTTCCCAGCTCTTCTATACTCACCCCTGTGAAAAGACAAATGATAGATAAAAGATGAAGTAGGATGAAAATGCCGCCGAGTAGAGTGAGCCGTCAGCAGGCAAATTGATGAGCACGTAGTCAATGGGACGAAGATAAGATGATGAAGTAATAAATCAAAATAACCAATTCACTTTCAAAACTTCGACGAAGATGATAAAGCATGAAATAGAAGGGATTTAATGCACGAATGAATGAAAGATTTACTCATTGGTGACTGGATGTTAAGGAAAATTTGGGTATAGAATAGAGAAAATATAATGGAATGAATTGCTAACAGAAAATTCATGGAAAAAGCCAGAAACAAAATGAGAAGTATAGACTCGTTGAGAGGTTGGAGTGATTCAGGCAGACTTTCAGCCACTCTTTCTCTCTTTTGTGTCATCAAAATAAGAGAATCTGTTGCTTAAATTGAGTAATTTGTCTGGGGAGGGGATGGAATAATTCTTGTATATGCATGATTTTTAAAATGGAACTTATCCCAAATTTTTGCAAAGAAATTCTCACCAGTCCTTTTTCGCTGGCGCATAGATGGCTAATCATGATTAAGATGAATCTGATAAGTTTATGCTAAGTCTGGAAACAAATTGAAGGAACGAAGCAGGCTCTTTACGTTTGCAAATCACGGTGGCAGACTTTGATTGTCTGACTTATTGCAACTTTCGGTAGGAAGGGCTAAGAGTATTTTTCCATTAGTGGAAAGATGTTTGCTTCCTTAATTAACATCTATCCAGAAAGAATAAATTATTTCCCATTTCTGCCATCCATTACAGTTTCGATCTGGACGGATGTTTTTTTATGAGATTAATAGCTACTCACTATATAAATCAGTAGCATCTATGTTTAATGGGAAACGCATACTCAAGAGTTGTGTTCACCCTATTTCGTTTAAGCTGATAAAGGATTGGTAGTTGAATTTTCCCACAATGGTATGACTAGAGCCTATGTTTCCACATAATTTCACATAGGCTTGCTTTCCCAAAAGTTGTTCTCATCCAGGTTTCTTATCAACACCCCAGGCGAGAGTCGAACCGTAACAATGCAGCCTCATTGCCACGATGAAACAAACCTATATTTGCTATAGCAATCGACGAGATTACTTTTTTCGAAAGTGAATAGGTGTTTGAGACTACCAGCAAATCAGTTATCTGAGATGCATACACTCTGTTCATCTACCAGTCCTTCGTCAACCTGAATACGTATCATACAACTTTTCTACCGGTAGCCTGGAAACCCTACGTATAAACAGAAACTAAGTAATGTATTAGATTGTTGAGGCAAATAAAACTTTACTTAATCATACGAAGAAAAGTTGGGTTTCGAGGAATCTCTTGTTTCATAATTGTTGGGCTTACTTCCATTTCGAG